GTGTTCAGGAGAGGAGTCCACAATGGAGACAGACATTTAGGAGTCACCCACATAGGGAAATTTAAGTGCTATGGAAAACATGGTCTAATTCACTTGGAATCTAATCTATTTCTTTTTAGAAAAAGAAGCAGGGTATTTCCGCAGTCTTCTGTATTATATTAGCTTGAAATGTACTTTACTGCTTTGTTGTACTATAGATGTAAGATGGGAAGAAATGAGGGAATATTCTTTATCATCTCCAAATATATAGTCTCCACAAAGTCAGATGAGAAATAAACTTGATACAAACTGACTTTTCATCTAAAACATATACCAATGTCATTTGGACTCCCCTACTATCCAAAGAAAAATGTTTCCAAAATATCATTATGAAAAAAAGATATTTGTCCAAACACCCAAATAAAATTTAAATGGAGGCCTCTATAAACATGCATGAAGTATCCTCCTACAAAATCATGGGGGCAAATATGCTACCATACTCAAAATTGAAACTGCAATTAGAAAACCAATAGAATTAGTGTGCTGAGCATCCTTTATTATATCTGAACTTCGGTGCTCAAGATGATGTTTCCTAGGAAACCAAAAACTTCCCCGGCACAAATATTATGAAATACAGTCCCCTGAATTGTAATGTTCCAAACCCTAACTAAATATTTAGAAATCAAAGACTTTCTAAGATCATCAAAAACAAAAGCAAATACAAAGAAGTAAACAAAAACAAAAGAAAACTACTTTCCATTGACCTAGATTCCCCCAAAATATATTTCCTGGGAACAAAAATGATTAAGCATTGCAAACAAAAACTAAAATGCAATAACAAATTAAAAATAATTACACTCTTTCTTTTCTCTCCCATCTTTCTTCCTTGTCATTACTTTGAAAAAAATCTCACTAATAGAGAGATGATTATATGAGATTAATTTGAATTTCCAAAATATTTGACATAAAATACTTTAATGACATATGACATTAAAATACTCAATATTTAAAACTGTTGAAGTTTTACCAAATAGAATTCCTGTGAAGAATAGTTAGAGTTAACAGAAATTGAAGATGACATAATTGTTTAGACTGAAAATGCCAGGAAGTACACAAAACAGCTACATGAATTAACAAGGGGATTTAACATAAAAAACCAACCATATTTTTATATACTAGAGTCAAGCAACTATAAAAATGACATAAAATCCATTTACAATGGGATCATCAAATGTATTTCAGGATAAACTGAACAAAGATACATGCTTAAAACTATAAACTATGACTAAGAGTAGCAAAATACCTAAATAAATGGAAAGACTGATCATGTGATGAATTGAAAGGCTCAGCCACTTAAAGTTCTCGATTGTTCTCATGTAGATATACAGATTATATATAATCCCGTACAAAATTCCCCAAGCATGTCTTATAGTCAATCCTTTCCACCCCACCCACATACGGAGCTACTAGGGATTAAACTCAATGCCCTGCATGTGTAGGTGAGAGCTCTACCACTGAGCTACGTCTCCAGTCTTTTTTTAGAAGTCTGAGATGGAGTCTCACTAAATTGTCCAGGCTGGCCTCTCACTTGTGGTCCTTATGCCTCAGCTTCTGAGTAGCTGGGACTACAGGTATGAAACATAACACTCAATTTATCATTATAAAATGTATGTGAAAGTGCAGATAATCTAGACTGTCAAATATTTTAGGAAAGAAAAATAAAGCTAAAGGATTTATACTACCTGATTTTAAGCCTTACTAATAAAGCTATGGTAAACAAAACAGTTTGGTGTTGACAAAGGACAGATGTGAAGTAACAGACTAGAATAACAAAAACAGAAACCAACCCAGCCATGTTAAACCGACTTTTGACACAGGGTCAAGGCAAATGATTGGAGAAAAAAGTCTTCAAAATAAAAGGCCCTGAAAACTGGATATCCCTATGGAAAAATAAATATCATCCTTACCTCATGCCATACATAAAAATTACCTAGAAATGGATATTGACATATACTTAAATGGAAAAGCTATGACTATAAAATTGCTAGATGAAAAAATGTTTTAGGAAATAAGACAAAAGAGCTCACATAGGACACAAAATTTAAAAATTTTAATTAAACGTTATCACCATAGTAATAAAATTTTGGGTAACTGAAAAACACAGGGGCTATTCTTGACAGCAAAGTTTTAGGTAGGGGCAGAAAAAGCTGTGACAACTACAGGGTTCTCAAACTTTGACCCAAGGAAGGTTTGCCCAGATGCAGTGATGCTTTTGTGCCAACCCATCGTTACATACATTTCTGCAAGCAAGTACGCAGCCAAGTCGCTGAGAAAGGCAACACTCAAATCCACTTGGACTTTATCTCATAGAAGTCAAGGTCATCTGCAGAAACAACCTGATGAAATGATACAGATGGCCACAGAGAAACCAGCATGGCCTGAGACCTTTTCTTCATGACTATTTCCAGTGCAAATTTCACATCCACTTTTCATTGCAATCCTCTAACATAAATATCAGCCCCACTTTTCCCAGTTTATGAAATGAGCGCACAAAGAGGTCCAGTCTTATTTGCCCTAATTCACTAGCTAGTAGAAGGGAGAGCTAAGATTTCCATATTTGAGGTACTTTGACTGAACTTCATATACATAAATTTCCGTATACACAAAACAAAATAGAATACGGGCAAGGGTAAACTTTGGATCCAAGTATTGTCACTTTTGCATTGTCCAAAAAGTATACAATCAAATATACAGATAATATTTTGTAGGGTCTTTGCTTCTCCCCAAAATATCATAGTCTTCCTATTAAGCAAATAATTCACCTGCATCTTTAAAAAATAGACTCTATTTTTAAAAAATTCACATGCGCCTCCAAAGAGCATGGCTAAATTTAGGGAGAATTAGTGCAATTATAGTTAGGTAACTGGAGAGTTAACATCGAATTAAACAATCAAACAACAAAAAGCTTAAATTGACTTATAGTTAAGTCTCAGAGAAAAATCAGATGCTTCCAAATTAAACATTTAAAAATATTTACACCAAGTGTCATAACCTGCAAATAACCAAAGACTAAAGACTAAGACTAAAGAACTAAGGACTAAAGAAATGCATTAGTGAATAATTATTTGCATTCAAACGTGATCCCCAGTTAATGTGTTGATTAAACATTCATAAGGAAAAGAATACATGGAAAATAATTATTAGCCTATTCATCAATTCTTCTGCATCCTTTTAGCAATTCAAATTCTGAATAACATTAATAAACAATGAAATTATGTATATATTTTGATCAATAAAAACCTTCAGTCATGCAGCTTAGTAATGTAGTACACATAGGTCATGGTAAAAGCTTATTATTATGTAGCAGTTTTCATCTTGTAATTCTAGTAAATATTCTGGCATGTTCTAGGAATTGTGACACTTAAGAGTAAAGCATTTAAGCATTCATGGTTTAGGGGGAAAGAGAACAAGGCCACACCAGCAAGCAAGCCCTGCCCAGGAACCTGCACCATGTGCAGGCCACCACCAGTCTGGGAACAGCCAGACCCAAGTCTTTTCCCATGAGTAAGTGCCATTTGCAGGCAGAGGGGAGAGAGAACAAGGTCACACCTGCAAGAATGCCCAGTCTGGAAACCAGAGCCATGCATGGGCCACTGCCAGACTGGGAATGGCCAGAACCCAGCCTCCTCCAGCATGCAGGCCGGTAAACAAGAAGTACCAATCCTTTCCCTGTCCCACCCCATAAAAGACCAGCTTATCCAGAGAAACACAGACTGTAATGAGAGCTATGAAGGTGAAATGCAATTGGATGCCTGTGGTGCTTTGGTGTTTCACTAACACTGCAGGTCTAAGGCCAGTGGTCTGATCGTAGGTTCAGAGGATAATGGGAGGCAGTGTGGCATCCAGCGAGGTAAGAGGGATCTCCTTCTGAGGGCTGCAGCCATTGTTGATTCTCTATGCTCTTGTTTTGGAAGCCCTTATCATTTCCATTGTTTCGTTGGGTTGGGTTTTATTCTCTTTTGTTTGATTATATCAAATCTGATGGCAGAAGCAGCTATTTCAAAGATAGCAAAATGTATTATGGTAGCAATTTTGGATTTACTATTGGCTTGTTTTGAAATCCTTTACTGTATTCATTGTTTTGTTTTTTTATTATTTTTATTCTATTCATTCTGTTTCATTTTTCCTATGTCTGAAGTTATCTGCAGCTATTTTGAAGACATCGAAGGCATTACAGTAACTATTGTTGATTTCATAATGTTTTGAAGTCCTGTATCTCTTACACTGGTTTGTTTTAATTGGTTTTATTCTGTTTTATCCTCTTTAAAATAAAATTTAAAAAGAGTAAAGCATTTTTCCAAGTGGGGAGGCTTCTGTCATCCAAAATTTTTAAAATTATACATTGAAATAGTCTCTTATCTGAGTATTTGGCTTTTTAATTTCCTCCCTACCCCTGGTAATCGTTAGTGTAACTGGAATGCAGAGATAATCTAAGAAGGTGACAACATCATGGTCTCACTCCATGGTACTGTGACCATGCTTGGCACGGTCCCCATTCCAATCACATGCGCATCTATCTGCCAGAGCAACAGGAGAAGGGAGGGGGACAGGACACACAGCTGCCATCTGTTCCCTCTCCTGGCATCCCCAGAAATGAAAACAAGGGTGGGAGTTTCTCCTAGAGACAGGAGCAAGATGTCCTTCACAGTGGGCCTGCTGGGGTGTCTTCAAGTGGTAACACTTGGACCTGGCACATCAGAAAGTGATAGAGACACCCTGTACTGTAGCACGTGATCCCACACCCAGAAGGGGCAGTTAAGCCCTTGCAGACTTCACCTCAGGGGCTGATTCCTGTGCACAGCCCACGGTCTCCCAATGGAGCCAGCTTCTCCAGAACTCACAAACATCACCATTCCCTATTTTTCTGGCCCTCTATCGTGACATGCACTGATTTAGGATTTACAACTGCTTTGAGATTTACAATCCCAGGTGACATTCATCAAGCAAACAAAGGTACTCACAGCTGCATGACCAGGTACAAATGATTTGGACTTTCATAAATGTCTTCCAGGGCAACAATATTTTCATGCTTAATTCTAAAAGAAAAAAGAAAGCACAGACACAGTGGTAAGTACAAATAAACATGAAAACTCTTAAAAACAGATGTCATTATGCAAAAAGTTATAAGTCAGACTAAACCCCTTAACGAGACATTTGAAACTCTTTACAATCTTGTCCCCAAACTTTCTCCAGGCTCATTTCTTAATATTCTTCCTTTGTTCTCTGATCTTCATTCACAAGGTTATAGAGGCCAAAATTTCACAGCAGCTGATTAGTTGTTGTTTTATGTGTATCTCAGAGGCCCAGTCTCTCAGCATTCTCGAAGAGCTGAGCCCTGGTAAGACCCACCTAGCTCTCTTCTTGCTGTTGCCTGATGGCCAACGTAGACTGGCCTGAATTGTCTGTTGTGAGAATACCCATCTCCCATAATAGGCCACTTGATCTATTCAACAGGTTTATGGTCATATTCATGAATCCAATAAAGGATTCATGAATTCTTCCATATGCTGGCAACAAATGTCAGTTTAGTTTCCCAAGCAAATTAGACCAGTGCCATTCAAAGATCAGTTCTCAACCGCCAGCCCTGCATCTCCAGGGAGACTGGAAGAAATGCAGATTCCCAGGATATGATCCTTACACACAGTGAAGTGTCTGAAATACTGCAGGAGACCAGTGCTGCTCCAATTTCAGTGTGCAAAGGTATGTCTACGGCTGGGTTTCAATGAAGATTCTGATTCTGTGAGTCTGGGCTTAAAAGCATTAATTTTCATAAAAGTAAATGGCCTGAGCATCTGCATTTCTCAACAGCTCCCAGCGGATACAGATGCTGCTGAGCTGAGGACTACTCTCTGAGAGACAAAGTTCTAACAAAAGCAGCCCAGAAAGAAGGAGTAAGCCTAATCCTAACCCCCTAGAACTATCCATTAAGAACAGTTGCTTCTCAGAACATAAGGCAGGATATTTCTTTAATGCATTTGAAAGGAGAATTGTTTCATTATTTAATGAGCTAATTAGCTCTTAGCATGCGCCCTTCACTGAAATGACTGCTGAACCATTTAAATTAGCACTCAGACTCTTGTGAACCCCTTGAAATTGGAGACATGAATCATTTTGTTTTCCACTTGTGCCTAGCACAGATCTGCTTAATAAGTGTTTGGTGAATAAATGAATGATATTTAAAAGTTGTTGTCACTGAGTGTCAAGGAGCATCCCATATTTTCTTGGGGGAAACAGGCAGAATTCCTATGTAAGAGATGTCTTCCTTCCCAAAGGAAATGCACAAGGTGGAACAAGCTAGAATATTATCTGCCTCTGAGTTGAAAGAAGAAAGCAAGATAATCAACTAAAAGTTGGCAGTGCTTTGCTTTGATTTCTATAGCTCTTATTCATTAATTCAGTTGTTTTGTTGGAGCTGAAATAATTACACTAAATCCACTCTTCACCTGATTCCTATGCAGAGCACATACTTATGTACTTTCAGCAGTGGTTACGGCACAACCTGAGCCAACTAAGATCAGCAATAAACTGAATCAATCTAGCAAATAAACAAGGACAATGAGAGACCATAATGGGGGGCTGCCATCATCCTAGACATTTGTAGAATTATCATTATTGTTTACAAATGAAAGAATATGACCACAAAAAGCAGATAGCTGATTTAACCATTTTTGCAAATTTCAAAACATTTGACATGAGAATCATTCACATGGGCACAAACACTTTCATTTAGTCAAATTAATTGAGTTTACTGGGAGTCTAGATTTATGGGAAAATGAGAAGAGTGGAGGTTTGGCTAGACAGAATACAGGGCACACAGTGATACTTGAATTCTAGACAAATAACAAAGTGTGTTTAGTCTATGTATGTCCCAATTATTGCACTGTTTATGAGCAATTCATAAAGCAGCTGGGATTTCTGTAGGTTCATGTGCTGCATCTGGTCATCCTGGGTACAAGATCAGCCCATCAACCTCTGAATCAGGATTAGAGATTATTGGCGCCTAGCTCCTCCTCTGAGCCAAAGAAAAGCTGTGTGAGCTTAGGGTTCAGTCATTTAATTAATAATACAGTTTCAATTTTCTACAAAGAATCAAACTGTGTAAAAGCACTTGCCAAACCATAATGGTAGACTCTGGGGAATTATGACCACAAGTCCCTCCCTAGATGCACAAGACAGAGACATCAAAGCCTATTCCACCCTGCCACGTCTTGCCATAAGCACTAACTAGAAATAATTCCAAACCAATGGAGCACTCCAGAGAAGAACTCTGGGTGCCAGGGACAATTCCAAATTGATGCATTACAATGGCTCAAAAGATGCTGTTTTAGGAATCATCCCTCCAAACCAATGGAGCGATAAATTAAGCAATTAAAAGCACAGTTTCTGCTGTGTTTGGGAGAATACAAGGAAATCATGAGGTTTCACCCTCAAAAAGCTTGCTGTTTAGATGGAGAAAACCATGAAGCAATCAGCAAAGAGTTAAATGCCAAATGCTATGGAACTATCCTCTTTCTTTCTTTTAATTTTCATTTACTTTTTTGCACAGTACTGGGAATTGAATGCATTAGGCAAGACTTGTACCACTGCGGCTACATCCACACCTGCAGCTGCCTTCATGATCATAGAGCAGGGACCTATGAGGGGCGAAAGTTTGGGGATAGTCTCAAAAAATGACCAAAAAACGGGGGGGGGGGCTGAGTATAGCTCAGTGGCACAGTGCCTGCCTGGCAAGCACAAGGTCCTGAGTTTGAGTCTCGATACACCCCCAAATGATAGGGGTTAAGTTAGGAATGTTTGAATAGGCATATCTGAAAGCTTTTCATAATCCTACAGTGAACTTTTTAATGCCCCTTCTGAAAACTGATTTAATTAACTTGGAGCTGTTAAAGAAAACATTCCAGCCTCCCCACATCTGTTTTTAGTTACCCATTCCACCCTCAGATCCCTTCTGATACACAAAAACTGAACTTAAAAATTTTACATTATTTCAACCCACAGATTATTTCCACAAAACTCACATGAATCCATAAATTTCTAGGTCTAGGACAGGATCGATTCCACATTGCTTATCACAATATTCACTCAACAAAAAAAGGGGGGCGTGGCCAACATGGGCCAGCATATGAATTCATATTTATCCCAAAACCTTATGAATTCAACAGGGGACAAGATGTAAGACACATCCCCAGCTGCTGACAGCTCACAGTGCCATGGCTAGAACCCTTCTCAGGAAGTCTGTCTTGTATTCACCATCAATCGGTCCCCTAGTAATTAGTAGTCATTCAGAGCAGCAATGCAGAGTAAGTTTACACTGTCTTCATGCAAATATTTGAGGGTCACAATGCCTCATCTTTGCATCTCTTCCTAATGTCAACCATCTCTGTGCAATAGGGTTGCTACTCCTCTAGCCATTCTACTGTCATTCATTTCTCCAGACTTTGGTATTCAGAACTGAAAGTAATGATCCCAATGTAAAAGTACAGAGTAGTAAATAACAGAGCAGAACTACACATTAATGTCATGACCTAGATATTAAACTTCTGCAAATCAAGCCTCAGACTAATTTCTCTTTTATGCAGCTACTGACCTGTTGGCATGTTAGAATATAACCTCCATGCAGGTAGGGGTTTTTGATGAAAGTTTTGTTCACTGCTGTGACCCTAATGCCAAAAAGCAACATGGCAGGTAGCACATTTGACACGTTTATTGAATGAATGAACAAAAATACTGAGTTCAGAGCCAATTAAATCATCAGATCACTTTTACATGAACTTCTACCAAACAAGATTTCTCTCCTTATTCTTCAACATCCTGACAGATGAAGTCAGACTGGGTCAAAGTGAACCAGAGAAGCGATATTCAGGAGCAAAAAGAATAGTTAGAAGTTCAAAGAAAATCATCAGAAAAAGCATCCCATCAGCCCATATCTGCTAGTGTTGTCATCCAAAATGGGGGAAAAAACATGATAGAGGCAAGAGGAGGTGATAACAGCCACACACTTTTGAGCTATCTTCAGCTGTTACATTTAGTCTTTTGGGGTTCCATCAGTGCTTCAGATATCAGCAGTATTCCGAATCTTGATTTGCTCATCTGTGTGTTTATTACTCCCCCCAACTGTGAGTTATCTGCATATGCAGTACACATCCCTCCCCTGTATCTTTATCAAAACCTCTAAGTAACATTTCACATGGGGAAGTTATATGTCAGAGCTTCACGATGTGCCACCACAGCCCCTTGGAGACATAGTTGACGTTCACCGGCTGACTTTGACTGCTGTTGAGACGGAACCAGTCCTACCATCCAGCCACATTTTACCATCCTATGCACAGAGACACCTCTAGGCACTTTGCCAAAATGGCACTTTAAAGGGAAATGGGATGTTTGGGAAAATCTGTTCTTAGTAAACTCGGGTTAGCTCCTAGCAACCACTACAGTCTTTACTAAACGATCACTAGCCATCTGCTTAATTTTCTATTTCAGAATTTTACTGTGCAATGAAGTCCAGACTCTCAGTTGATAGTCTCATATTCTACCATTTTTTATGTTTGGAAAATTTGACATCTCCAATATTGCTTTTCCAACATCTCAACTGTCACTCTTTGGGGATAAACTCAATTTCCTCAGTCCCCCAGGATATAAGAAGTTTAAATCTAGTGAAAAATGTTTATGACTTTCTTTAGACCTCATTTACATCGCTGCTTTATATCCACCATTTATTGAATGTTAACTAGGTGTCAGGATGTATTGGGTTGGTTTTGCTTCTATTTGGTCCTGGGAATTGAACCCAGGCCTTCAGGCCTGTTAAGCACATGCTCTATCACTGAGATTAAGTAAGTACTCCAAGAAGTCAGGCAAGTACTCTAGTATTACATAACTCCTGACTGGCACTGCTGAGATTTAATCTAAGTGCATTCTGAAAGCCAAACCCATCTTATAGCTACTATGTTACAACTTCACATTAACTAAGCTACAGTAATGATAGATAAGCGCTCACATAAATTCAGACCTATTTGCATAAAATGATAACATTGCAAAG